GGCGGTCTTGGTGTGCCTTTTCGTATGCAGTGGCCTCCCGGATTGCCTTCTCCAGGTCCAGGTCATCCTGGCTTACTAGCTTCCTCTGAAGCTTCGGCTCTCAGAGTCCCACGAGGAACTGGTTGAGGAGAGTTTCAGCTAAGTTGGAGAAGGAGCACCTGGTCACACTCCACCGCAGAGCCGCCAGGAAATCTGAGGCGGTCTCGTCAGGGCCCTGGACCTTCACGAAAAAGTCCAGGCGCTCCACAAACTTTGTTGGTTTGGGAGCCAGATGGTCGGTCAGCGCCTTGACCAAGGAGCTGTACGACTCGTCTTTGGTCAGCTTGGGCGCTATTAAGTCCTTAAGCAGGAGATGGGTCTCCATCCCGCAGTGGTGCAGCAGGTACGCCTTTTTTATATCTGGATCCACCACTTTGTGGATGGTGAAGTGGCTCTTGAGAGTTTCCAGCCAGGTCTCCCACTGCGAGGGTTAGGAGAGGGCGAAGCGAGGGTTAGGAGAGGTCGAAGACTGGGAGACTCTCTGATGCGGCAGCCATCTTACGGGTTCCACGTGGAAGCGAGCAGCGTAGACGGCGTAGCGGTGCTGCTCTTGGGGTCAGCCGGACGATGCTCTGCGTTGCGTAGAGGCGGAGCGGTGCGGTGCTGCTTTCAGGGTCAGGAGCGCGATGCTCAGAGCTCGTGAGCGGTGTGGTGAGCGGCACTTCTTGAAGATGCTCAATGCTGGCGGCAGTGGCAAATTCGGCGCGGCGGCTCACGGCGATGTCCTAAACGTGGTCTCTGTTCCGAGGGAGATGGATCCCACCTTCGTCGCCAGTGAAAAGTACGCAAACGGAGAGTGATTTCAGCAAAGCATACTTTATTCTATCTGGAACAAGACGACTTTGGCCGGCTCGCAGGCCGGCTTATATCCCCCGAGGAACCGCCACCCAAAACACACCCTTACTACCCTATAGGTTATTTACAGTGGCCGAGAGTCCCATAGGCTCTCGGCCGGGAACCTAGCCCCCTGATTGGAGCGAGCTAGGATCCGCATAGTGCATTGTCTCTTGGAGTGAAGCTCGACGTTTGTCTCTGGACTTGTCTGGACTGGATACATTACAGATTTCCTCTTCTGACAAATCATTAGAGACATGTTTCCATATGGGAGCATAGGTTATGCTGGTATTCTTAGCTCCAGGTTTAAGGAATTGCCGACTATGAGATGGTAAATCGATGGAAGCATGGCTGTGCCATACTCGGGAAGGACAGCGCTGTTGACATACAAAAAATATTTTAACAGATGTGGGTGAGCTGGGTTCAGAATTGTGCATATGGACAGCAGACCTTATGAACTATTATTTCAACATAGTGCCTGCTGAGGAAGCAATGCACATAAAAAGTCTGCTCCTGTGTGAAACTAGGTACAAGTTCAACACAAGTATCTATCACAATTCATTTCTTTATGGCTTGTAAGGCTCATATGGTGATGTGGGTTTCTTTTTTTAAAAAAAAAATGAACTTATTTGGAAGAATTACCTTTTTCAGGGAATCCCCATGCCTTTCTTGAATGTATTTTAGAAATGCTGTTGTCCATTGTAAAGTCGTTGCCTTATCAGTATCTGAAGTACAGAAGGGAACCAGAAGATTCAGTTCATCGCAACAAATCCGGATTCTGCGCCTAGAATCAGAAGTAACGTGCTCAGAATCTAGCACTTGAAACTGCCATTCTTTTCAAAACATTTCTTAATTCAGTGTAATAACAGGGAGGCTAATATTTTGATTTAAGATCTTGGAAGGGGACCATTTGAAGGCCTCTTAGGAAGTTTCACTTATGCTATGATTGGTTAATTATTCTCTCCTGCAAGGCTAAATCCAAAAAAAATCTACAGGGTACCTTTCTCTGTCTCTCCCCTCAACCCCCTCCTCCTTGGAAACCATTTGCCTCGCTTGATCCCCCCAGACTCATAACAAAAGCCACATGCCACTGCATTTTCTTACATTCACCCTCTTCTCTCTCTGTTATCTTTGCCTCTCCTCCCTGTCGACTCCCATCACATTATAAATTCCTTCTAGCAGGGTAATTAATGGCACTGTATAAATAACCACTGTTTGCTGATAGAAGAGAGAATAATATTACTACCCTGGTGGGAATCAACATTTTCTTCAGAAAGAAAGAACCATTTTTAGAAAATTCTGCTGGGGGAATAGAACCAACCACTTGACAGACTGACTTACATCGACGCTTTACCTAGTGTATCATCTAAAATTAATTGCAGGTATTGTTACTATAAGGACCAGCGTGCGTTTCCTCTGCCCTCAGCCTTTTAAGGGAGCTGTTTGTCAGGGAGGCTTGTGAATGTCTGCAGGCTTTAGATTTTCAGTTGGAGACTGCCATTGAAGTTTGTGGTGCATTCCACACAGGATACCGTCAAGGACAATCAGGAACCCAGAAACATCCCCCCCAAAATTATTTCTTTGTGACACTTTTAACCTGCCTTCCTCATAAGGGATTCACCATGCAGCCATCTGGAGAACTCAAAAGCTTGCACACAATGTTGTGTCATTTTGATGTTTAGCAATAGCTATGCATGGCTTTTGCTGTGTCTTGATTACTGTGGGTATATCTGTTACTATGGTTTTCTCTTAAGGCATTTCTCTGTGCTCTCCACACTTAAAAAAATAAATTCAAATCCTGCATCCAGGCTGTCCAGATCTGTGCTAGGGTCGTGGGGGGGGGGGGGGGGGGTAAAGCAAACAGTCAGACCTGTGAACTTGGGAACCTTGGGTGGCCGCAGGTTACTCTTTGGGAATGTGATAAACAGTAATGGGTCTGCTGACTGTTTACTTCCACTGGTATGCTGATTGCATATTTGTATCTCTCCTTATATTTAATTCTGTTTTGGAGTGGCAAGATTCCATACGCTCCCAAATAAATTGGCTCCCTGATGTGTCACTCACCAGGGGTCTGTATCCACTGGCTGCATTGCCTTGCCAGTCCCACCCACAGAGCTGGCAGCCAGCGTCTCACCCTCAGTCTGCAGGGAGCCACTGGCTGCGATGTACGCTCCGGCAGGTGGAGGCTTACAAGGCCGAGGCCAATCCTGCCAGTGCCGCAGCAGTAGTCATTGGCCGAGGCTGACTGCAGGTAGCCGGCTGCCCTGTGACCAGATGGGGGCTGGTGTGCCACTGGGGCGGAGAGTGGTGGGGGTGGCCTACAGTCTGCCGCCACCTGGCCGGGCAGGAAGCCAATGTCAGGGCGTTGCGTCGCCCCTCGACCCCAGGCTCTGGGGAGGGAGAAGAAAGTGGGAGACCGGGCCTCAGTGTCCTTGGAGACGACGGACGGCCCGTCATCAGTCCAAGGCTGATTCTGCCACTGCCACCGTTGGCAGCCGAGGCCGAATGCACGTGGCTGGCCTGCGACTGGATGGGCACTGGCAGCCGGCGGGACAGAGAGTGGTGGAGCCAGCCTGGAGGTTGCCAGACACAGCCAGGCACGGAGCCAGTGGCAGGGTGTTCCATCACCCCATGACCCCAGGGTCTGGAGAGCAGGTAGAATCTGGGGGCGGGGAACTGTCACGTCTTTCTAGAGCTCGTTGTATTGTTTCTGCAACAGGCTTTGCTCCTAGTATGTACATAAAGTATTACAAAAGTCCATTGGGTTTCCAGTACTCTCCCATCCAAGGGTCAATGCTTGGGGATGTGGGGACTGCACAAGGCTTCCGGCATGACCAACTAGTTCTTAAATAAGTGAATATTACAGGTGGGCCTCCTGATGGGGATCAAAGTGCTACAAGAACAGAAAAGTATTTTTAAAACATCTGAAAAAGAGGAAATGAAAACAGAAGTGACAGCTAATCCTCTCTTTCATGCTCCATCTATATATGGTGGGGGGGGTGTCACAGAAGAAAAGTGGGAAAGCACTGATGAGCCCCCCCAAAGCACATACATGTGAATATGAAGCTGTGTTATACTGAATCAGACCCTTGATCCATCAAGGTCACTATTGTCCATTTAGACTGGCAGTGGCTTTCCAGGGTTTCAGGTAGAGGTCTTTCACATTACATAACGCAGTCTAAATGGAGATACCAAGGACTGGACCAAGCACTTCCCACATGCAAAGCAGATGCTCTGCCACTGAGCCACAGCCCTCCCCCTCCCCTAAGAGTGCCCTTACGGAAACAAAAAGAGCTATGCCGCTGGTGACAGACAACACCTATGATGCATGGACATTATTTGGATCCCTTTGCTGGTGTCAGGACTCAGACGTCCTATGGTATGTTCCCTGGAATGTCCTGGCTAAGCCTGGGTATGACCATGCCTTAAAGCCTGCAATGTTACAGTTAATTACTGTTGAATCCATTTTAAATACACAAAACTTGGTACCTTTAATATTCTTCTTCTCTTCTTCCTTCCCCGTCCCTTTATCCTCTATATCATGTCTATTATGATATGACTGTTTCCACATGGGGTTTTTCCCCCTGCGTAGAATGCTGGGAGCTCCCAATTTAAATGGGAGCCTCCACACAACTTTACACTTATTTGAAGAATCACAGAATCGCAGAGTTGGAAGGGTCCAGACAGGCCATCTGGTTCAACCCCCCTGCTCAGTGCAGGATCAGCTGAGAGCATCCCTGACAAGTGTTTGTCTAGCCGCTGCTTAAAGACTGCCAGTAAGAGAGAGCTCACCACCTCCCGAGGGAGCTGATTCCACTCTTACTAGCAAAACGTTTTTCCTAATACCCAGCCAGTACCTTCCCACCCTTAATTTAAATCCATTATTGTGAATCCTCTCCTCTGCTGTCAACAGGAACAGCTCCCTGCCCTTCTCAAAGTGACAGCCCCTTCAAATACTTCAAGAGAGCAATCAGGGCCCTCCTGAGCCTTTCCCCTTTAAACTGGACCAGAGAAAACCCTTATTTGATCCAGTCCAAAAGGAGGGACAGTGGGGTGACTCTGGGCCAGAGGTCATTTTGGGGGGGAACGCGGGGGATCACAGTTCCCCTGGGTGAGGTGCGGGGGACGGGGCACACGATGAAGCCCCGCCCCCTGCTTCCAGCTGCCCCGCTTCCGGCCCTCATTCCGCCAGGAGGAGGCAGGAGAAGAGGGAGGGTAAGTTGCTTCCTCCCCGCCTCTCCCCACCCCTGCCTGCCTGGGGCCAGGGAGGGCCTTGGCGGGGCTTCCTCGCACTCCCGCCGACCTTGCAGGTCCACCGCCGGACCCCTGATGTCAGGGGGTGTGGCATATGCTAATGAGTTATGCTAATAAGTTCCCCTAGCTCTTTTTCTACGAAATGACCCTGCTCTGGGCAGATTGTCCACGTGGATCATCCACCCTGCAGTCGATACGGGGCAAGGGCAGAGCTAAGCACAGCCCTCAAAATGGTGAGGTTAAGTGCCGCATTTCTTCCTACTCTCCCCGGCCGCACCAGGTAAGCGGCCTGGCAACCCTACCACGGAGGTCCCTCCCCACTGCGATCCCCAGGCTCAGCCCCCCAAATCTCCAGGTATTTCCCAACCCAGAGCTGGCACCCCTAGAGGGTGACGGGGTAGTAGCAGCAAGTGGCCTGGGACAGGGTGTGGGGACACTCTTCCCTTCTTCTTGCTGTTGTTGCTGGGGCACATTTTCATGCCACCCCATATGGAGGTGGCCTATAAAGCATTATTTTACAGTGTACACCGTTCTGAGTGTATCACCGTACATTGTAAATAAGCACTGTATATAAATAGGTCGATTCAATCCAACTGGGCGGAAGCCTTAAAACATAACGTCATGGCATGCCAGTCAGCACCACGCAACACAGAGAAGGGGCTTGGAGCTCAAAGGCCGCCCACAGCAATGACCTTCTGTCTCGCTCCATTCGGTTATGCCTCTCCCGGCGCTGAGAGACCCCTCCTTGGCCTCCGTTCTGTGCGGAGCCACTGGAAGATGGCTGCGGTGCTTGCCAGGCACCCTGGGCTGCCCCGGCGCTTTGGCTTTGGCTGTCACACACATTCTGAATGTCACCAAGGGGCTTGCGCTGCAGGCTCGTGTCCAGCGTCTGTATGCGGCTGCGGCTCCTTTTGTTGATTGTTTGCTTACATAAAGCCTCTCCTTTGCAAAACAAGAAGGGGGGGGGAATAGTGCTTTATATACTTTGTACATCATGAGCTTATTTAACCAGCCTTGATCCAAATCGAACATGCACCCGTATTTAGGGTTGCTGGCTTCAGTTTGGTAAATACCTGGAGATTTTAGGGGGGGAGGGCGGGGTTTAGGGAGGGGGAGGGACTTCAATGGAGTATAATGACACCGAGTCCACCTCGCAAAGTGGCCATTTTCTCCAGGGGAAACCGATCTCTGTTGCCTGGAGATCAGTTATAATCCCAGGAGACCTCCAACCACTATCTGGAGGTTGGCAACCCTACCTGTATCTGGAACACTAATGAATGAAGGCTGTGATTCTGCATGGGCACAGCAGAAAATAGAGCCTATCCTTAGCATTACTTGATGGTGCAGCATTTTAAAACTAGACTGATTTTTGATCTCTCTGGATGTTCATTCAGATACCCATAGCCCAAGAGGTCTCCATAACTGCAAACAGGGTTGCCAACCGCCATATGGCACCTAGAGATCTCCCACTATTACAATTGATCTCCAGGTGACCGAGATCAGTTCCCCTGGAGAAAATGGCTGCTGTGGAGGGTGGACCCTATGGCATTATACTCTGCTGAGACCCCTCCCCTCCCCAGGCTACACCCCCAAAATCTCCAAGTATTTCCCAACCCAGAGCTGGCAAACCTAACTACAAACCTTTCTGTTCTAAGAGCTGTGAAGAAAGGTGTAAATGGTGGCCAAAATATAATTGTAATAAATGTGCATGTTGCCCAAACCTTAGTGTCAGGCTGAGATTTAAAGGCAACTCAAGTGTTACTGCATCTTGGGTATCAAAAAGCAAAAGAAACAATTGAACAGCGGTTATGGGACCATGCCCTGCAATCAGATAGGGCAAAGATACAGAAATGTCTGGTTATTCTGTCAACTATACCAGGAAGATCTGAACTTTATGTCTCTCCCCTCCTTGCAAACTCCGGTCAGTTGCCAAAATTACCAAATGTTGCTGATGGGCGTGTGGGATACACAAGCAGTTAATTGAATCCCAGTCATTTTGCCTGCCTGTTGAAGGAGTTATACAGAGTGTTGGACTGGATGGGCAACTGGCCTGATCCAACATTGGCATCTCATATGTTCTTATGCTTGTCCTTCCTCTTAATCTCTGCACAAGACAGCCCGAAACTGCTGAGTGGCAGGGAGCTTGCTCCCTATCACTCAGCTGTTTTTTGGGGCTTTCTGCAAGCCTTGTTTAAAGGGACTGCGGTCCCTTCCAACGGGGTTTGCGGGTGCCACAAACTTGTTCAGTTCATGAACAAACCTCCTGGTTCATTTTGGATCATGGTTTGGCCTCGAACCACAAACGAAACCTCATTTTTCCAGTTTGTGCCCATCCCTAATGCTGGACATAAATGAGTGTAATATCAAATCGACCACTAGAGGGAGGAAAACACATGCAGAACAGAGACACCTCCCCACCCTGAAGAAACAGGAATTTACAAGCAAGGAAAATGAGAATGTGGAAAAGCCCTATAAGGAACTAATTGATGTTATATGCTGCTTTCTTAAAGACTATGCAAAGCACCTAACAAGTGAATCTGTTACTATCTTGTATAACCATTATATACCTGTTTTTATTGCAGTTTTCCAAAAAACTGAGAAAGAATAAGCTTCTCCAAGCAGGGTTGCCAGGTACTACCTTTTAGCCAGTGGGGAACTCCCAGGTCCTTCCCGGGATCTTCTGCTGTGCATGCTTTGTGGGCGGAGCATGATGTCATCACTCAGAAGTGATGTCATTGCATCACCAACATTGGGGGGTGCAAAACCATAGAGTTTGCCCAAAAACTAGAGCATCACCCCCCTGACATTGGCAACACAATGACATCACTTCCGGGTGATGTCATCATGACAGGGATGTTGTATGGCAACATGCCTGTTTGTGGGTGGGGCTTCCCCCACTGGCCAGCTGGCTGGAGCCCCATAAATCGGGGAAAACCCTGCCCAGACCCTGTCTCCAAGTCAACTTCCAATGGAACTGAATTGTCTCAAATGCTTTCTGGATGATATTTTAAGAAAGGTATGTTTAAAAACACTCATCACAAAAATTGGAATTACCCTCCTTTTACAAATGCTTCTCTTAAGAAACAAAATTAATTGTGTTAAAGTCCTGTCTACTGAAAACAAAGCGAGCCAAAATGTGGCAACTTGCCTCCTACTTTAATCCAAACGTGTTCAGGCAGAGCCTTATTTCGAGGCCCAACAGTCTGTTTTGTGGCTTCAATCTCCTGCTGGTAACAGATAGAAAAAGTTCGTGGCAAGCCAAGGTCTTGATGCTTAGCAGCTTCCAAAACAGATGCTCCAGAGCTCTAAAAGAAACAAAGTGTCAGTTTTAAGCAAAACCAAATTTGTGACTAAAGTTGGTAGCGCTCCCCTTTTCTTCAGCGATGGAAAGCTCAAGGCAGCCTTTGCACCGTCAGATTCCTTTAGAGCAGAGAAAAAGTACTGGAAGCTTTAAGAGACTGACACACACACATTCGAAAGTCCCTTGTGTCCTCTCTGTTCTCTGAACTAACAGCCATCACAAGGACTTTCAATGGGACATGTGCCGGGAGTTCTGTGCTGGGAATTTAATATCCTGGCATCGGTGGGTCCAATTCAGATCAGGCCCTCAAGCACACAGAGTGAAGGTGTTGCAGCCTTTACCCTGACAACACTTTCCCCACTTGAAATGGCCCTGGGGAATCACTCTTTGCCTGGTTGAGGAAATTTAGATATATAGCCATCGTGACATGTAAGCTCCCCCAGTGGGCAAGTAGCAGCTCCACAGGGCCATTTCGGCTCAGGAAAACCACATGGAGGGAAAAGCCCGCTTCTCCTTGCACGCCACAGTCCCAGTCCCATGTGGAACCCTGGAACACATCTGTCAAAGGCCCACATGAGGGACATGTGAATCAATCTTTAAACATTCTTCACCAACCTTATTTTGCTGATAATGGGAATTGGTGGCTAGGAATACAGCTTAGCTCCTTTCATACTCACTGATTCTCTCCTGCAAATCTCCTCCCTGAGCAAGGTCAGAGGCTTACTTTTAGTTTCAAATATTTGCAGTGGGAAATCAATGGATAGGGAAAGGATTAAGCTCCCACTTACCCACTAATTCCCTTCTACAAATGCCTCCTCCGGCTCCCACATTCACATTACCAGGAAAACATGGTTATAACATCTAGTTATACTAGTGCCGCCAACCCCCAGGTGAGCCCTGGAGATCTCCTACTATTACAGCTGGTCTCCAGACAACAGAGGTCAGTTCCCCTGGAGAAAACAACTGCTTTGGAGGATGGACTCTATGGCCTTGTGCCCTGCTGAGCTCCCTCCCCTCCCCAAATCCCGGCCTCACCAGGCTCCACCCCCAAAATATCCAGGTATTTCCCAACCAGATCACTTTTGTTGAGTTTCTCCTTCCATTACCTAATGGTCAAACACAGTCAGACGTTCATCTAGCCACTTATGTGCCATCCTGAAAATCCCTATACATTACATGTCACTGGGCTTTTAACAAATCTGGGTTTTAGTCCATTTGGGCAGAATTTATTCGCTTGTACGTTTACTGAACTGCTGATCATTTTGGACTTTTAAATTTCTACATTCTCAGTGTCGTGATCAGGGGTCATTTCCTGCAGGAGCACACAGGAGTGGAGCTCCGGCAGTAAAGAGCCCAGGGGGTGGGCACATGCAACAAGCCCCGCCCCCTTCTCCCAGCAGCTCTCAGTCAGAGCAAGAAACAGCCAGGTAAGTTGCAGAGCCCCCCGGCCCCCCCTGGCCCCAAACAGCCCAGTGGCACCTTTAAGACCAAGTTTTATTCAGGTACAAGCTCTCCCTCCTCTGCGAGGGCAGATCTGCACGTTCCTCCCCCCCCCAACAGCTAGCAATCCAAAACAGTCCAGTGGAGCCTGAGCGGTGGGTGTTGCCTTCTGACACACTTCTGGTGATGTCAGGGGGTGTGGCATATGCAAATGAGTTATGCTAATGAGCTCCTGCACCTCTTCTTCTACGAAATGACCCCTGGTCGTGATATTGCACAAGGCTGGCTATATACCAGACTACATATCACTTAATGTTCTCTGTACTACTTTAATTTTGTTATGTAGTCCATAGATTTTGTATGGTGGCCCAAATTCAATTTCAATCAGCCACCATTTTGTAATGTCTTTCAACCTGGATTCCAGGAGAGCAATCCTAAACAGGTCTACTCAGAATCCTACTCAGGTTTATTCAATGGGGCTTACTCCCAGGAAAGTGTTTTTAGGATTTCACTTTAAAGGCTTTAGGATGTTAGACCTAAATTTACTGTGCACTCCAACTTTTTATTTTTGGTAAAAATTGGTTAAATTGGTTGAGAGCCAGTTTGGTGTAGTGGTTAATTGTGCAGACTCTAATCTGGGAGAACCGGGTTTGATTCCCCACTCCTCCACTTGCACCTGCTGATGTGACCTTGGGCAAGCCATAGTTCTGTCAGAACCGTCCTTGAAAAAGACCAGTTTGTGTCAGAGTTCTCCAAGCCCCACCCACCTCACAGGGTGTCTGTTGTGGGGAGGGGAAGGGAAAGGAGTTTGTAAGCCGCTCTGAGACTCCAAGTGAAGGGCGGGGTATAAATCCCATCTCTTCTTCTTCTTCTTCTTCTTCTTAAATCATGCCACTACTAGAACAAAGTTCATGCGTATCACCTTTGGTTTGAAGGTCAAAGCTAAAATATACCTCAAGTATAGACAGATTTTAAAAAAACCTTAAAAGAAACTCCAGAAAACAAAAGCTCCATAAACAGTCATAAAAATGGGTGTGTTTTTTAAAACCCTTTCCAGTCATTTCATTTCCCTGCTGAAAACTGCCATGCCTTTTACATGCCTTTTAATGTTACAGGTACACATTTCCGCTAACGAGAGGGTAAAAACAGCTTGAAGGTGGCAGTTTTCAGTGGGAAAACAGTATGACAGGAAACAGATATAAGATCACCTTTTCCCCTGCTGATCTTCCCTTTTAAATTCTACCTCCATCTGTTTCATTCTGTAGAAGACAAAAACAGCTACAAAAACGATCATAGAATTACACTGGCACATGTGGTTCCTCCCAGACTTTATGCATTCCTGTATAAAGTTAATTTTCACAAGATTAGTTATTACAGAGCCATAAAACAAATAGGAAACAATCTTTAAAAAAATAATTACCAACCTGTTGTAACTGGTTTGCATTTACAGTTGCGGGAGAAGCAGCATTTGGGTTAAACAGTGGGCACGTAAACTGTAATGCCGTGGTAGTCGTGGCAGCAGTCTTATTTTTCACTAATGTGGTACATTTATTCTGCTGCTGGTGGAGAGGAACACCCATCACTTCAGAAGGATGGCGAATGAGGGTTACTACACTATGAGGGGGGAAATCAATAAAACAAGGACAGTTGTTTGTAGCAACTGGACTCCAAAGCCCGTATTTCTTGTGCAGTCTTTTATATCAGTAATCATTTCAGACTACATCCAGAACTCAGCTCACTTCAAAACACACATCTGATTACACGTTTAAACAAAATTATATATGCTTCTAACTAGATCAGCATGCTTAATAGCATCTTTTCTTAGCCGCTAAAAGGGAAGAGAGTAATAACAATCTCACAGGCTCAAAATGTTAACATTTGCATAGATAACACATGGCTGCACAATGTATCTCCACATGAGACACATAATTAAAATCCTATTATTCCCTGCTTTTCCTTTGGCTCTTAGAAAATGAGTCTTAAAATCATGTTGCAAGATGGACCCCAATATCAGAAACTAAATACAAGGTGTATACACACACAAACACACATATATTAAAATATGTATATACTACCTTTCAACATGGCTCAAAGCAGTTGTGGTTATTTTTAATTATTCTGTTTTTCTATCTGATTACTTTTTAAGCTAAATAACCTGGGTGTTTAAAGCTGGCCCATTCTGCATCAAGCATTCGCTCCGCTGTTTAACCAAACCCACATTGGAACAGACATTCCCCTCTACATTGCATGCCACTTTCACTTTCTTTGATTGTCGGATTTTATTGAAGCCTCCACACTGCAGGCCAGTTTCACTTCTTTTGATCTCTCGGTTTTATGGTACTGTCTGCATAGATTTATGGCTGTTTTGGTGTAGTGGTTAAGTGCGCGTACTCTAATCTGGGAGAACCCGGTTTGGTTCCCCACTCCTCCACTTGCACCTGGCTGGATGACCTTGGGCAAGCCATACCGCTCTGAGACACCTTTGTGTAGTGAAGGGCAGAGTATAAATCCAATCTCTTCTTCTTCTTCTTTTACCTCACAGGGTGTCTGTTGTGGGGAGGGGAAGGGAAAGGAGTTTGTAAGCCGCTCTAAGACACCTTTGGGTAGTGAAGGGCGGGGTATAAATCCAATATCTTCTCTTCTTCTTCTTTTATGGCCGTTCAGGGGTGACTCTGCAGTCAGTACGGCGTTGGCCCTGGGGTATTTGAATGTGGTTTTGAGCCGCATCTGCTTCTGTTCCAGTGCGGGTTTGGTAAAACAACGGAGCGAATGCTAGATGCAGAATGGGTCATGGTAAGAATCAACTCAAAGCTACTAATCCCATGGATCAGTTCACCAACAAAAAAGTGATCAGAGAGCTACACAACCACCACTGTCCTAATACAATGTCACAACTTGTGGGAATGTAAACCAGCCCATGGTATTACAGTGAGGCAAAGGATCAAATAGTATTGCTACACAGAGGAGGCTAAAAGGTATTGTGGGAAGTTGTGATATAGGACAGGGCTGTGAAATGTCACTGGTGCCATTCACAAATTATTTCAGCCACCACATACCTAGTTAACCCTATGCACGCTGCAACTGTATGCATGACATTTATCAAATTTGCATGCCAATGGCTAATTTTAAATTAAGGGGGCTAATATGGTACTATGTGTAGAGCAGTGGACTGCAACCACAGAGACCAGGGTTCAAATTGTCACTCTACCATGAAGTTCATTGGGTGATCCTGGACCAATCGCTATCTCTCCATTTACCCTTCTCTGGGGCTTTTTTTTTTTTAAGAGGTGCCAAAACTCTCAAGAGGGAAATAAAGTTTTCAACCTGTACACTGAAAACTGATGAACTTTTAAACATTTTAAAAAGAATGTTGTTGAAGAGGTTCTGAAACTCTGTTCCCCCAGAAAAAAAGCCTTCTCACAAGACTTTTGTGATGCTAAAATGGGTGGGAGGAGGCTGCAGGGTATCTTGATCTCCTCTGAATAAAGATGCGATAAAAATCTGATTTTAAAAACCAGCAAGGTCTATTTTCCAGACTGCCCCATGACACCTAGGACCTTTTCCTCCAGATTGGCATTGACCTCTTAGGGGTAACTGGAGAATGCCAGATGAAGGGAAATATCTGTTTGGTCCCACTCTATATTTTTAGACATGCATTTAATATTTTTCCTTTTAGTGTACATACAAAAATATGATATATGGATGAAACAATCACATGGGTTGGACCCAACAGCTTTTTCACTGGTGAAAAAAAGCAGGGGGTCTCCTTTGACTATCCAAAAAGGCTGTGTTGGGGATCATGGGACACTGGACAAACACTATGTGAGATACAGGCTGTAATAAAGAAGAGGATTGGTCGAGATTGAGTGAAAAGGCCGGCCAGATCAAACACTATGTTTGGAAACACGTATCATATGGGAATGCTCATCAGAGAGCCAGGATTGGCTGCAACTCCCTGTTGAGCATACAATTGGCAGGAAACCCATAGACTGTGATTGGTCCTTGGGGATGTGTTCGGGAAGTCTTTCAAAGGAAGAGCTGTGCTACATTGTAGCAATAATTTGTAACAAACATGCAACGGAGAGCAAAACTCAATGGATTTGTCTCACGTAAGAAGGACACCATGTTTTTAGACTGGAAAGTGCAACATCCTGACATTCTATCCGAGGTTCAGCGTTTACCATATGATGCCAATTGTAAGTAAATTAAAGAAGCGAATGAAGTTTTTTTCCAATTTTGCTGAATAAGTTGCCATCTGCAATTTAAGGGGAATGGGTGTCAAATGGATCCACACGCAGACAAGACTCCGGATAGTCTTTGTAGAACTGAATCTACATTCTTAGCATCCTGATATCCCAGTCTTGTTCTAATAACACATAGGCTATATGTTTTAATAATTCTATATGTCTAAAAGCTAGTGTACTGAACAGACTTCCTTGAATAAATTGAACTGAATTGATCTAATACCATTTGCTGGAATGTTGCCACAGATTTCACCCATATGTGGATTTTAATGATCTTGTTAACACATGATAGATTCTGAAAGTCAATTGTGACAAAGTGCAGGGCTATTTTGGGGCAGGAACGCACAGGAACGGCGTTCCGGCTGGCTTCAGAGTGGGCCACGCCCACTACAGCAAAAACCTCTGTGTGCCTAGCTACAGAGGGAAGGCCTGGAGAGTGACACACACACCCCGCGGCAACTCTGAGGCAGGGGGCGGGGGGGCTGGTAGGACTGGGGAGGCATTTAAATGCCTCCCCGTGCCTTCCCCAGCCTGTCCAAGAGCCGGCTTGCCTGGGCACCCCGCAGCTGCCTTCCCTTCAAGGGGGGGTTTGCCTGGGCTCCCCGCAGCCATGGGGCACCCAGGCAAGCCAAAGGATGGCAGTTTAAACTGCCTTCACTTCAAAGCATGGGGGTGTGGCCTATTATGCTAATGAGTTCCTGCTGGGCTTTTTCTACAAAAAAAGCCCTGACAAAGTGCATGAAGCATATACTATGGAAATCAGACTAACATAACTGTGTTAGAGCAGGAGGTCAGAGGAAACAGGTTGGTTCAAATGCCACAAGGATCATCCATGGCCCATATTTTAATACTGAAATTAGTTTAACAGCCAGCTTAATCCAGGAACACACAACTGATGTAAGTATAGCAGTTGAACTGACTTACCACAAATTAATTCACACTTAACCCATTTGAACTGCACTTTTACAAACACAACAAGAGGTATGAACAAGAATGGGAGATTGTTTCCCACTGCATGTACATCAAATGGCTAATCAACTCAATTTTAATTATTTAGAACACACAACTTTTCTGTGCTCCTCGTTTCTAAGGGTCAATTGACAGTGGGCAATAGAAATGATTAAAACGATACTTTGAAAAAGACATAAATGCAACACACTTGTTAATGGCTACTCCCGTTTCCTGTGATTCATGGCACCTGGGAATTTCAGTCTGGACACTGTTGAACCTATCTTCCAACCGAACACGGACTGCAGATTTGGCTCTGGATTCCGGACCTGCTGCTGAATTTTCCAAGTTTATTCCACCCACATTTTCAGTATGTTTACCTTTCACTAAACTCTGCCCGGTGGCATCAACTGAGCTACCATTAGGTGTTTTTTCAGCTTGGTTGAGAGGAAGGTTAGACTCACTAAGCAACATCATCCTCAGCTCCTGGAAGTCAATATGTCCAAGGCACTGATTGGGACCCATAAAACTGCTATCAGAGGCCAAACCAGACTGGCAGATAATGGGGTATAGTGCCTGGTTGCCGGAGCTGTTTGACGAAACGCTACCTTGACTGGTATTACATGACGACAGGTATTGGGGGTTGTTCACTGGGTTGTTGGCTGAGAAGCAGTTCAAATTTAACCTGTTTTCTGCTTCGTTTTCATTTGCTTGTGCCTCCATATGGGAATAGAGTATATGCTGAAGTTGTGTGTATTCTATTTCTGTCATCTCCACCAAGCTGAGGTCTGTGGTGGTGAAGCTAAGGTTGTGCTCACCAAAGGAGGAATCAGTGGGGCCTTCAGCAGCTGGAGCAGTAGGGACTGGATTAGTGACTGCACCCCGGGGATTTGAAGCTTCAAGCTCCTTGGAAGTTGAGTCGGACATGATTCTGAAAAATGCTAGAGCCACAGACCCTTTGGACAATGAGAACACACACAAGCAGAAATACGTCACCTGCTCGATGATGTGCAATAATAGCTGTAACCAAGGATTAAACCTAATGGGGAAGAACTGTACACAAAATTGGAGTTGGATCACCTCGTCCTTCGTCTAAGCACCCCAAGAAAAAAGAGCATAAACATTCCCGGGTCCAGACTGCAGTGCCAGATGTCGAGAATGTTTCGCCCAGCCAAAGTAAGCAAACAACTAAACAGAGGTAACAAGGTCTTATCTTAGCATAAAAATGGCTCAAACTGAAAGCCACCCAATAAAAATGGGGAAAAAATCTAATCCTTTGCTTTAAAAAAACCCCCAAAACCACAAACAAAGAAATCTGGACTGGGGTGGGGATCTAATTTAAAAAGAGAGGGTGTGCATAGGTTGAATGCCAGAGCCTAAAAATGGAAAACCACTTGGTAACACAAAAGGACTGCATGCTACCCCACCAAATGTGGAATGTCCCCATTTAAAAACAGAGGGGCAGCCAGGCAACCTCCTCCAATGTCTCCAGGCGGGATGGAGACTGTGCGCCCCCAACTGAATGTCATCCCCTCCCTGACAGATGGGGCGCTCTTCAGCGCCCCCTACGTGGTGAGGGGTGCGTGTGGGCTAGGCCTGGGGCCCCCTTCCAACCTCCGCGGTCCCCCACCAACCCCTTTTCAAGTTAGGCCCCAAAGCATCACCCAGGCTGGTAACTAGGGCCTGCTTAGCAACCAACGGGAGGCTGGTCCTGGAGGAAAGCCCCGCCCCCTTCCCGCTCCAAACAGCCCTCAGGGCACGCCCCCTTCCAACTCCCCAACGGACTAAACCGCGGAGGGGTCGTGAAGGCGCGCGCGGCGTTTCCGCCGGGAGGCTCCGCCCACCGCAGCGTCAACGGTCTCCGCCCCGCCCCCCGGCGGTCTCGCGTCGCTCCCCACGTCGGCCGCTCTCAGGCTCACCGTTATTTCGCCTCAGGAGGCGTTCTCCTCCCTCAGAATTCCCGCTCTCCCCTTCCCCCCCCATATAAAAAGCAAACTTGCCTTTAAATATCGCTGACACGAATATATATATATATATTTTCCCCCCGCAAGGGTTTCTGTGGCCCCTTCCATTTTTTAGTCCCCCTCGGGGCTGCTTCTGCGGCCCTCCCCGCCTCCATTTTGCCCTCGCCACAGCCCTGTGAGGTAGATTCGGTTGACAGAACGAAGAGCCCGAGGAGTTCCGTAGCTGGGTGTGGGGCCGAGCCTCGGTTTCCCGAGGCCCAAGGACGGCATCCAGCGCCACCCCCCCTCCTTCAAGCCCCGCTCGTTCTTCTGTGACAAAGGGGTCAGCCATCTCCACCTCCCTCGCTCCACATCTCCACAAAATCCGTAATCCGCGTTTTATGCCGCAGGAGTTAACCCACCCGCTCGAAAAGCACCCTCTGAGGCAGCCCGCTCGTATTACGCCTCGAGTACCGAGGGAAGGGACTGGAAGTTATAATGCCCCGAAGTTTTTTTTTTTTTTTTAATATTTTTATTAAGAATTTTGAAACAATACAATGTATCAAAGATATGAGCCTACAAAGTTTCATAAGGACTGCTTAAAAACTAGGTAGATAAGTATGCCATACTTTACAACTATAACAACAACAAACAAAGAAAACAGGATACTTCACATAAAAACTTAACAATTATCACAACCTGTCGAATTATGGGTTAATGCCCCGAAGTGAAATGCTATTTATTTAGAATATTTCTGTGCCACCTTCTCCAGAGTCCCGCTTGAGGCCGCCGTTCCCAACAAACCGCTACTTCTCTAGCCCCCTACATAATTTATTTGAAGGGGGGAAATCCCCCAACAAAACAAAACAAAAAAACTTTTTCTCCAGCTTAATTTGTTTTATCATAATATTACCTGTGCAAGTTATAGTTGCCACCAGTATTCAAAAGTTCTCCAAAGCAACCATGATCACCAACTTGCTCAGCCTGAAGAAGTCCTCTCCACCGAGGGTTGCCAGGTCCCTCCTGGCCCCCAGCAGGGGATGGGGTTATTGTAGGGTGGCCAGATGCAGGTTGGGAAACGCCTAGATCAATGTTCCCTTTAAGCCATGGAGTCTTGTGAGCAAAAATTCTACTCCGTGAGCTACTGGCATTAAAGATGTGAGCGAGCAATTTGGGTACTCCATAAATTAGTTTGCTCTGGAGCCATCCTTCCTGAGCTAACACAAAAATGTGTGAGCTGGAGGCTAAAAAACTGAGCTAGCTCACACTAACTCGCCTTAGAGGGAACACTGGCCTAGATATTTGAGAATGGAGCCTGGGACCTCAGTGGAGCACAATGCCACAGAGTCCACTCTCCAAAGCAGCTATTTTCTCCATGGGAAATGATCTCTGTAGGCTGGAGACGGGTTGTCATTCGGGGGTATCCCCAGGTCTCACCTAGAGACTGGCACCCCAGTTTACCCCCCATTATAATTAGTCATTTTAGCCTGTCCTCTTCCAACCTGTGAGCATTTTCTCAAAAGCCAGAACACACCATTTCATTCCACACTGGTCCAGATGAAACTACCCAATTGAGTACTGACAAAATCAGAATTCCTCACTTCACATAGAAGTGTGCACTGAAAATTAAAGAGAGACCCCTCCATCCATTACTCTTTACTTACCACAATCTTGATTGTTGTCAAGGGGTAATATGTTTAAACCAGCTGTTCCATTAAATCTCACTGAGACAGTGGTTGATTAATGAAGCAAGACTGCCTTTATGTAGGCAACAAATTTCAGAATATTAATAGGTGTGCCACTTGCCAGTGCTCGTTTGGCAAATTCCTGGAGATTTGGGGATAGAGCCTGAGGATGTCGTGTGAGAGAGAGAGTCTTAAGCTAGGTATAACGCCATGGAGTCCACCCCTCAGAGTAGCCATTTTTCTCCAGGGGGAGTGATCTCTGTTGTCTAAAGTTGAGCTGTAATTCCAAGAGACCTCCTGGCCCGGCCTGGAGGTTGGCAACCCTAAGTATTAGTCTGTCGCTGAACAAGCAGCACTCTTTTGTACTTTAAAAAAATACAGACTTATTATGGCATACACTTTTTTTAGAACCCACTATTAATATCAGGGTTTTTTGTAGAAAAAGCCCAGCAGGAACTCATTAGCATAATAGGCCACACCAAACAGCAGAAACTCATTAGCATATTAGGCCACACCCCATGCCTTCCCTTGGCTTGCCCGGGCACTGGGTGGCTGTGGGGAGCCTGGGCAAGCCCCCCCCCCCTTGAAGAGAAGGGAAGGCAGTTTAAACTGCCTGCCCTTGGCTTGCCTGGGCAAGCTGGCCCTTGGACAGGCCGCAGGGGGAGGTATTTAAATGCTTCCCAAATCCTTCCAGGGCCCTCCCTGGCCTGCCCACCTCGAAGTGGCCGGGGGTCACTCTCCAGGCCTTCCCTCTGGAGCCACACATGCAGAGGTTTTGGCTGTAGTGGGCGTGCCCGACTCCGAAGCCAGCCGGACAAGCTGGCCCTTGGACAGGCCGCAGGGGGAGGTATTTAAATGCTTCCCAAATCCTTCCAGGGCCCTCCCTGGCCTGCCCACCTCGAAGTGGCCGGGGGTCACTCTCCAGGCCTTCCCTCTGGAGCCACACATGCAGAGGTTTTGGCTGTAGTGGGCGTGCCCGACTCCGAAGCCAGCCGGAACTCCGTTCGAGTGTGTTCCTGCCCAAAAATAGCCCTGATTTAATATTATATAGTATTCATGATGACACTGTACCAGCTTGCCAGTTTGTTTCCAAATTAGAGTTGCAAGCTCTGGATTGGGAAATACTTGGAGATTTTGGGGGTGGAGCCTGGGAAGGGCAGGGTTTCAGGAAGGGAGGGATCTCCTAGTTCTAGCACTAGCCCTATGAATCATCCTAGTTCTAGCACTAGCACTTTGTATGTTTTGTGTGTATATTGCTATGATTTTAGTTGAATTTGTTTTAGTTGTGCAATATCCTATGTAAGCCACCCTGAGCCTGCTTTGACGGGGAGGGCAGGGTAGAAATTAAATAAATCTCAGCAGGGTACAATGCCATACAGTCCACACTCCAAGGCAGTCATTTTCTCCAGGGGAACAGATCACTGTTGTCTAGAGATGTGTTGTAGGAGTGGGAGATCTCCAGGCCTCCGCTGGAGGTAAGCAACCCTGTTCCAGGCTCAGTTCAGGATGCTGGCTCTTAACTTTAAAGCCCTTCTTAACTGCAGAAGAGTTGTCTCTCCCCATATGAACCTGTGCAGCAACTTTCCTCAGTCAGGGCTCATGCGTGGTTATCCCCTCTCTTGTAGGCCCATTCTTGGGGTTGCTCTGTAACTGGTTCTTCTTTGTGGAACAGGCTACCGGAACATGTGAGGAAGGCTTCCACTTTGACCAAGTTCCAAAAGCTGTGGAAGGCTGAATTTTTAAAGGTTTTCTTATAAAGGTAGCTAGATTCCTATAGGAGGCTTGATATAATTTGTGACTTATTTTTTTCAGTGATTTTGACGTAAAATGCCTTAGGCCCATATGGAGAAAGGTGGAACATAATTTACTTAAAAAATTAATTCACCTGAGGGCAGTTGTGGTTTTCTAAAGCAAAAGTCATTTTCCTAGCAAAGCAAGAATCTGGGTATGCATAAAACCCTGCATGGTGAATATATCTGATTTTTAGTTTTCATTTCAAAATGTTCTTCATCATTTATGGTAGAAAGTTTCATGAAAATATCCGTGTTTTAAAAGACTCATAGTACAGCCCCGGTGCAGCACTATTCCAGTCTTAAGTCGGTTGCTTTCAGTGGAGTAACATTGTCAGAAACAGGACCATAAAGGTTAAAGCAAAATTAATTTTCAAACAAAAAAAGGTACTTTTAAGCGATTTTAAAATATTCCAGTATAAGAAACTACTTTTGTGGAGAATATCACAACAAAAACAAAATCTGACCAAAGGAACTGCCTCCTTCAAAAAGCATTGTGTATGGTGTAG